TTGGGGTTTCCCACAGGAATTCCACCTTTTTCCACAGAAATTTTGGCTTTTCCACGGGAATTCTGGGGTTTTCCAGCAGGAATTTCAGGGTTTCCCATGGAAATTCCGTCTTTTCCCACAGGAATTTCAGCTTTTCCCTGGGAATTCTGGGATTTTCCAGCAGGAATTTTGGGGTTTCCCACAGGAATTCCACCTCTACCCATTGGAATTCAGGCTTTTCCAGCAGGAATTCCACCTTTTCCCGTGTGAATTCCACCTTTTTTCACACTAATTCCAGTTTTTCCATGGGAATTCTGGGGTTTTCCTCCAGGAATTTTGGCTTTCCCCTGGGAATTCTGGACTCCTCCAGAAGGAATTCTAGGAATTTCAGGGTTTCCCATGGAAATTCCGTCTTTTCCCACAGGAATTTCAGCTTTTCCCTGGGAATTCTGGGATTTTCCAGCAGGAATTTTGGGGTTTCCCACAGGAATTCCACCTCTACCCATTGGAATTCAGGCTTTTCCAGCAGGAATTCCACCTTTTCCCGTGTGAATTCCACCTTTTTTCACACTAATTCCAGTTTTTCCATGGGAATTCTGGGGTTTTCCTCCAGGAATTTTGGCTTTCCCCTGGGAATTCTGGACTCCTCCAGAAGGAATTCTGGGGTTTCCATGGGAATGCTGGGGGTTTAGGGCCGGGATTTTGGGGTTTTCCACAGGAATTCCAGCTTTTCCTCATGGGAATTCTTGAGGGAATTCTGGGTTTTTCTTGCAGGAATTTTGGGTTTTCCCAGAAGAATTCCACCTTTTCCTGCGTGATTTCCACGTTTTCCCGCAGGAATTCTCAGGTTTTCCCACAGGAATTTTGGCTTCTCCCACAGGAATTCCACCTTTTCTTGTTGGAATTTTGTCTTTTCCCACAGGAATTCCAGGTTTTCCTGCAGGAATTTTGGCTTTTGTCATGGGAATTCTGGGAAATTCCTGCAGGAATTTCACCTTTTCCCGTTGGAATTCTGGGGTTTCCCCACAGCAATTCCAGCTTTTCCCACGGCAAAAAAAAAAAAAAAAAAAAAAAAAAAAAATCCCGGAAATCCCAGAAATTCTCAGCCCTTGGGATGTGGGGGAAACGGGAAGGAGATCGGTGAGAAAAGAATAATCAGGAAAATTGGGGAAATCGGGAAAATTGGGAATGAATACAGGAATTTCGGCTCAGAATTCCCAAGGTTTTAGAGGATGGGATGAGGAAAAAATCCTGGAATTCCAAACCCTTGGGATGGTGGAAGTACAGGGGCAGAGTGGCGAGAAAAGGAAAATTGGGAAAATCGTGAAAATCAGGAATAAATGCAAGAATTCGGGCTAGAATCATCCTCGGAATTCCCAAGGTTTCGAAAGTCACAACGAGGGAAAATCCTGGAATTCCAAACCTTTGGAATGTGGGCGAACATGGGGAGGAGATTGGTGGGAAAAGGAAAATCGGGGAAATCGGGGGAAATGGGAATAAATGGAAGAATTCGGGCTGGATTTATCCTCGGAATTCCCAAGGTTTCGAAAGTCACAACGAGGGAAAATCCTGGAATTCCAAACCTTTGGAATGTGGGAGAAACAGAAGGAGAATTTGGGCTCAGGATTCCCAAGGGTTTAGAGGATGGGATGAGGGGAAAATCCTAGAATTTTCCAGGTTCCGTGGGAATTCTGGCCGGGATTTTGGGATTTCCATGGGAATTCTGCCTTTTCTCATGTCAATTCCAGCGCTTCCAGAGTGAATTTTGCCTTTTTCCTCCATCGTTTCCCTGGGAATTCTGGGTTTTTCCCGTGGAAATTCCAGGGTTTTCCATGGAAATTCCAGCTTTCCCAACGTGAATTCCACCTTTTCCCACAGGAATTCCAGGTTTTCCTGCTGGAATTTCAGCTTTTCTCATGGGAATTCTTGAGGGAATTCTGGGGTTTTCCAGCAGGAATTCCACCCTTTCCCTTGGAAATTCCTGGTTTTCCATTGGGAATTCCGCCTTTTCTGCTCAAAATTCCACCTTCTCCCACAGGAATTCCGCCTTTTCCTGTGGAAATTCCATGTTTTTCCATGGAAATTCCACCTTTTCCCACAGGAATTCCAGGTTTTCCTGCTGGAATTTCAGCTTTTCTCACGGGAATTCTTGAGGGAATTCTGGGGTTTTCCAGCAGGAATTCCACCCTTTCCCTTAGAAATTCCTGGTTTTCCATTGGGAATTCCGCCTTTTCCTGCTGGAAACTCCACCTTCTCCCATGGGAATTCCGTGGGTTTTTCTGCTTTTCCCCGGGGAATTCTGCCTTTTCCTGCTGGAAATTCCAGCTTTTTCCATGGAAATTCCAGCTTTCCCCGTGTGAATTCCACCTTTTCCCACAGGAATTCCAGGTTTTCCTGCTGGAATTTCAGCTTTTCCTTGGGAATTCTTGAGGGAATTCTGGGGTTTTCCTGCAGGAATTCCACCTTTTCCCAAGGAAATTCCACCTTCTCCCACAGGAATTCCACTTTTTCCCTGGGGAATTCCACCTTTTCCTGCTGCAAATCCCAGCTTTTTCCATGGAAATTCTAGTTTTCCTCGTGTGAATTCCAGCTTTTCCCACAGGAATTCCAGGTTTTCCTGCTGGAATTCCACCCTTTCCCTTGGAAATTCCTGGTTTTCCATTGCCAGCTTTTTCCATGGAAATTCCAGCTTTCCCCGTGTGAATTCCACCTTTTCCCACAGGAATTCCAGGTTTTCCTGCTGGAATTTCAGCTTTTCCTTGGGAATTCTTGAGGGAATTCTGGGGTTTTCCTGCAGGAATTCCACCTTTTCCCAAGGAAATTCCACCTTCTCCCACAGGAATTCCACTTTTTCCCTGGGGAATTCCACCTTTTCCTGCTGCAAATCCCAGCTTTTTCCATGGAAATTCTAGTTTTCCTCGTGTGAATTCCAGCTTTTCCCACAGGAATTCCAGGTTTTCCTGCTGGAATTCCACCCTTTCCCTTGGAAATTCCTGGTTTTCCATTGGGAATTCTGCCTTTTGCCACTAGAAATTCCACCTTCTCCCACAAGAATTCCGCGTTTTTTTCTGCTTTTCCCTGAGGAATTCCATGTTTTCCCGCTGGAAACTCCTCCTCCTCCCACGGGAATTCCGTGGTTTTTTCTGCTTTTCCCTGAGGAATTCCATGTTTTCCCGCTGGAAACTCCTCCTTCTCCCACCGGAATTCCGCGTTTTTTTCTGCTTTTCCCCGGGGGAATTCCGCCTTTTCCCAGCACCTTCTCCCACCGGAACTCCGCGTTGCTTTTTCCGCTTTTCCCCCTCCTCCTTCTCCCACCGGAATTCCGCAGGTTTTTCCGCTTTTCCCCGGGGAATTCCGCCTTTTCCCGCTGGAAACGCCTCCTTCTCCCACCGGAATTCCGCGTTTTTTTCTGCTTTTCCCCGGGGGAATTCCGCCTTTTCCCAGCACCTTCTCCCACCGGAACTCCGCGGTTTTTTTCTGCTTTTCCCGGGGGAATTCCGCCTTTTTCCCAGCACCTTCTCCCACCGGAACTCCGCGGGTTTTTTTCCGCTTTTCCCCGGGGGAATTCCGCCTTTTTCCCATGGGGAATTCCCGTTTTTCCGCCGCCCGCCGCACCTGGAGGCGCCGGGTTTGAGGCCCAGCGCGTCCCAGCTGTCCTTGCTGCTCCGGATCCGCCGGATGGCGTCCGCCTGCTCCCGCGTGAAGCTGATCCCGGAGCCGCCCGGCGGCCGCTTCCCGCCGTTCTCGCACAGATCCACGATGGCCGAGTAGAAATTCTGGGAATTCCCGGCGGGAATCAGCCCCGCCTCCTCTCCCGGGAAAGGTTCGGGGTTGGTTGGTTGGGATTATTTGGGATTATTTGGGATTATTTGGGATTATTTGGGATTATTCCTGCTTTTCCCGGGGGAATTCCGCCTTTTTCCCAGCACCTTCTCCCACCGGAACTCCGCGGTTTTTTTCTGCTTTTCCCGGGGGAATTCCGCCTTTTTCCCAGCACCTTCTCCCACCGGAACTCCGCGGTTTTTTTCTGCTTTTCCCGGGGGAATTCCGCCTTTTTCCCAGCACCTTCTCCCACCGGAACTCCGCGGTTTTTTTCTGCTTTTCCCGGGGGAATTCCGCCTTTTTCCCAGCACCTTCTCCCACCGGAACTCCGCGGTTTTTTTCTGCTTTTCCCGGGGGAATTCCGCCTTTTTCCCAGCACCTTCTCCCACCGGAACTCCGCGGTTTTTTTCTGCTTTTCCCGGGGGAATTCCGCCTTTTTCCCAGCACCTTCTCCCACCGGAACTCCGCGGTTTTTTTCTGCTTTTCCCGGGGGAATTCCGCCTTTTTCCCAGCACCTTCTCCCACCGGAACTCCGCGGTTTTTTTCTGCTTTTCCCGGGGGAATTCCGCCTTTTTCCCAGCACCTTCTCCCACCGGAACTCCGCGGTTTTTTTCTGCTTTTCCCGGGGGAATTCCGCCTTTTTCCCAGCACCTTCTCCCACCGGAACTCCGCGGTTTTTTTCTGCTTTTCCCGGGGGAATTCCGCCTTTTTCCCAGCACCTTCTCCCACCGGAACTCCGCGGTTTTTTTCTGCTTTTCCCGGGGGAATTCCGCCTTTTTCCCAGCACCTTCTCCCACCGGAACTCCGCGGTTTTTTTCTGCTTTTCCCGGGGGAATTCCGCCTTTTTCCCAGCACCTTCTCCCACCGGAACTCCGCGGGTTTTTTTCCGCTTTTCCCCGGGGGAATTCCGCCTTTTTCCCATGGGGAATTCCCGTTTTTCCGCCGCCCGCCGCACCTGGAGGCGCCGGGTTTGAGGCCCAGCGCGTCCCAGCTGTCCTTGCTGCTCCGGATCCGCCGGATGGCGTCCGCCTGCTCCCGCGTGAAGCTGATCCCGGAGCCGCCCGGCGGCCGCTTCCCGCCGTTCTCGCACAGATCCACGATGGCCGAGTAGAAATTCTGGGAATTCCCGGCGGGAATCAGCCCCGCCTCCTCTCCCGGGAAAGGTTCGGGGTTGGTTGGTTGGGATTATTTGGGATTATTTGGGATTATTTGGGATTATTTGGGATTATTCGGGATTATTCGGGAACGGGCGCGGCGGGAGGTGGGATTCAGATCCCGGGGATAATCGTGGATTCAATTCCCACAGGGCGACCCTGGAAATCCTCGATTCCGTTCCCAAGGTTTTCCAACGAAAATCCCGGATCCAATTCCCAGCCCTTCCATCCCAAAAATCCCAGATCCATTTTCCAGGATGATCCCAGGAAAATCCCGGATCCAGGCCCCAGTCCCTTCCCAGGACATTCCCAACAATCCCAGGTCCAATTCCCAAACTTTTCCAAGGAAAATGCTGGATCCAAATCCGAAAAACTTCCCAGGGCGATCCCGAAAAATCCTGGATTCAATTCCCAAGGTTTTCCAAGGAAAATCCCGGATCCAATTCCCAGCCCTCCCCAGCACATTCCCAACAATCCCAGATCCCATTCCCAGCCCTTCAATCCCAACAATCCCGGATCCAATTCCCAGGATGATCCAAGGACAAGCCCAGATCCAAATCCCAAAGGACATTCCCAGGACAATCCCAACAATCCCAGATCCAATTCCCAGGAAAATCCCACTTCCAGCCCCCAGACCCTTCCCAGGACAATCCCAAAAATGCCAGATCCCAAAAATCCCAGATCCAACTCCCAGCCCTTCAATCCCAACAACCCCAGATCCAATTCCCAAATTTTTCCAAGGAAAATCCTGGATCCAATTCCCTGCCCTTTAATCCCAAAAATTCCAGATCCCAATCCCAGGGTCCCCACAGGACATTCCCAACAATCCCAGACCCACTTCCCAAAACTTCCCAGGAAAATCCCAGATTCAGCCCCCCAACCCTTCCCAGGACATTCCCAAAAATCCCAGATCCAACTCCCAGCCTCTTCCAGGAAAATCCTGGATCCAAATCCGAAACCTTTCCCAGGGCGATTCCGACAACCTCGGATCCAATTCCCAGCATGATCCCAAATCCAAATTCCACACGACATTCCCAACAATCCCAGATTCAATTCCCAGGAAGATCCCAGGACAATCCCGGATCCAACCCCCAGTCCCTTCCCAGGACATTCCCAACAATCCCAGATCCAATTCCAAAACCTTTTCCCAGGAAAATCCCAGATCCAAATCCCACAGGACATTCCCAACAGTCCCAGATCCAACTCCCAGCCCTTCATTCCCAGCAATCACAGATCCACTTCCCCAGGAAAATCCTGGAATTCTTGGAATTCCTGGCATTAATTCCCACCTGGAACATCTCCTGGAATTCCCAGATTCCCACCCGGAACATCTCCTGGATCGCTCCAACCCCTCCCTTTATCCCGCATTCCCACCCCAAATCCCACCTGGAACATCCCCAACATTCCCAGACGGATTACAACCGGGAATTGCCACCTGGAACATCTCCCTGAATTCCCACCGGGAACATCCCACCTGGAATTCCCACCTGGAACATTTCCTGGAATTCCCACTCGGAACATCGCGCCTGGATCGCTCCCACCCGTCCCTTCGTCCCGCATTCCCCCCCAAATCCCACCTGGAATTCCCACCTGGGACACCTCCCACAATTCCCACACAGAACATCTCCCACAATTCCCACCCGGAACATCCCAGCTGGAATTCCCACCAGGAACACCTCCCAAATTCCCACCTGGAATTCCCAACCCAATCGCTCCCACCCGTCCCTTCGTCCCACATTCCCACCCCAAATCCCACCTGGAATTCCCACCTGGGACACCTCCCACAATTCCCACACAGAACATCTCCCACAATTCCCACCCGGAACATCCCAGCTGGAATTCCCACCAGGAACACCTCCCAAATTCCCACCCGGAATTCCCGACACAGAATTCCCACCGGGAACATCTGGAATTCCCGGCATTCCCACCTGGAACATCTCCCGGATGCCCTCCCCGCTCTGGGCCGAGGTCTCCCAGTGGAGGAGGAACCCACAGCTCCCACCCGTCCCTGCATCCCACGTTCCCACCCCAAATCCCACCCGGAATTCCAGCCGGAACATCTCCCCGAATTCCCAGCCGGAACATCTCCCGGCATTCCCGGCATTCCCACCTGGAACATCTCCTGGATGCCCTCCCCGCTCTGGGCCGAGGTCTCCCAGTAGAGGAAGCCGCGGCTCTCGGCCCAGAGCCGGCCCTCGCTCTCGTCCACCACGCGCAGCTTGCCCGCGTCCACCTGAACGACGGACAGAGGGACCGACGGACGGAGGGAACGACGGACGGACGGACGGAGGGAACAGTAAAAACAACGGGAACGGACGGCGGGAATGGAGGAACGGCGGGAACGGATGGACGGATGGCGGGAATGGATGAACAGTGGGAATGAATGAACGGCGGGAATGAACAATGGGAATGAATGAACGGCGGGAATGGACGGCGGGAATGAACAGCGAGAAAACAATGGGAATGAACAGCGGGAAAACAACGGGAGAGCAATGGGAAAAAACGAGAAAACAATGGGAAAACAACAGGAAAACAACCGGAGAACAACGGGAGAACAAAACAACGGGAAAACAGCGGGAGAACAATGGGAAAACAAAACAATGGAAAAACAACGGGAGAACAACGGGAGAAGGGGAGAACAAAACAACGGGAAAACAACAGGAGAACAATGCGAAAGCAATGGGAAAACAACGGGAGAACAACAGGAGAACAGAACAACGGGAAAACAGCGGGAGAACAACAGGGAAACAAAGCAATGGAAAAACAATGAGAGAACAACAGGAGAACAACGGGAAAACAAAGGGAAAACAATGGGAGAAAAACGGGAAAACAACGGGAGAACAACGGGGGGGAACAGGAGAACAACGGGAGAACAAAACAAAGGGAAAGCAACGGGAGAACAAGGGGAGAACAACGGGAGAACAGCGGGAAACCAAAACAATGGAAAAACAATGGGAAAACAATGGGAAAGCAACAGGAAAACAACGGGAGAACAGCGGGAAACCAAAACAATGGAAAAACAACGGGAAAAGAGCGGGAGAACAAAACAACGGGACAACAATGAGAGAACAACGGGAAAATAACGGGAGAACAACGGGAAAACAATCACAGAACAACGGGAAAACAACAGGAAAATAACGGGAGAACAACGGGAGAACAATGGGAGAACAAAACAACGGAAAAACAACGGGAAAACAGCGGGAATGATAAAAACAACGGGAATGATAAAAACATCAGGAAAATAAGTAAACACCGGGAAAATAAATCCCACCGATACAGAAAGGAAACAAGAATTCCCCTCCCACGGGATTTGGTCGGGACCAAACCCCGGGAACATCTCCGGAATTCCCGGAATTCCCACAATTCCTAACAATTCTGGATCTGGCCAGGAAAAATCCCTGGGAATGGCTCCAGAATTCCCAGAATCTCCGGAATTCCCGCAATCCCCATCCCGCCGGGAACAAAGCCCCGCAACGCTTCAGGAACCTCCAGAATTCCCCTCCTACGGGATTAGGTCGGGACCAAACCCCGTCAGCCTCTCCGGATTTCCCGGAATTCCCGGAATTCCCGGGAATGCCGGACCTTGTTGGCGCAGACGGCGAAGACGACGTTGTCCAGGCTGCCGTGGGGCCCCAGCTCGCGGCGCATCTCGGCCAGCCACGAGTCGAGCGCCTCGAAGGAGTCCTTGGAGCCCACGTCGTACACCAGCAGCACGCCCTGCGTGTCCCGGTAGAACTCGTTACGGACCTGGAAAGTTGGGAAAAATGATGGTTTTAATTAATTATGTAATGATTTATTAATGTAATGTTACAATGAAATAATGTGATGTGATGTAATGTAAAGTGAAGGAGTCCTTGGAGCCCACGTCGTGCACCAGCAGCACCCCTGGGTGTCCCGGTAGAACTCGTTAGGAACCTGGAAAGTCGGGAAAATGATGGTTTTAATTAATTATGTAATGATTTATTAATGTAATGTTATAATGAAATAATGTCATGTGATGTAAAGTAAAGCGAAGGGGTCCTGGAGCCCACGTGGTGCACCAGCAGCACGCCCTGGGTGTGCTGTTGAACTCGTTACGGACCTGGAAAGTCGGGAAAAATGATGGTTTTAATTAATTATGTAATGATTCATTAATGCAATGTTATAATGAAATAATGTGATGTGATGCAATGCAATGTGAAGGGGTCCTGGAGCCCACGTCATGCACCAGCAGCACGCCCTGCGTGTGCTGTAGAACTCATTAGGAACCTGGAAAATTGGGGAAAAAAGGGCAAAAATGATGGTTTTAATTAATTATGTAATGATTCATTAATGCAATGTTATAATGAAATAATGTGATGTGATGTAATGTAAAGTGAAGGTGTCCTGGAGCCCACGTGGTGCACCAGCACCTGGGTGTCCCGGTAGAACTCATTAGGAACCTGCAGGGAAATTTGGGAAAAATGGGGAAAAATAAAAATATTCCTGGAAAAAATTCCAGAGGGAAAAAAATTCCAGGAAAAAAATGAGGGGTAAGAAAGTCCAGGGGAAAAAAAATCTGAGGAAAACAAAGAAGAAAAAACAAAACAAAAAAAAAAAAATCCAAAAAAAAAAAAAAAAAAAGAAAAAAAAAAAAAAAATTATTCCCATGGTTCCCATTATTCCCATCATTCCCACTATTCCCATCATTCCCATTTTCCCCGTTATTCCCAGTATTCCCATTATCCCATTACTGCCATCATTCCCATTATCCCCACCATTCCCCTTCCCATCATTCCCATCCCAATCCCATTCCCATTATCCCCATTATCCCCATTATCCCTACCATTCCCATTATCCTTATCTTTCCCACCATTCCCATTATTCCCATCCCAATCCCATTCCCATTATCCCATCTCATCCCAACCCCATTCCCATTATCCCCATTATTCCTATCATTCCCACCATTCCCATCCCAATCCCATTCCCATTACCCCAACATTCCCATTATTCCCATTTTTCCCATCCTACCCCAATCCCATTATTCCCATCATCCCCATCATTCCCATTATCCTCACCATTCCCATTATCCCCGTTACTCCCATTGTTCCCATCCCAATCCCATTCCCATTATTCCCAATCCGTTCCCATTCTCCCCACTATTCCCATTCCCATCATTCCCATTCCCGTTATTCCCAATCCCATCCCCAATCTT